GATGGATTGTTTAAGTCCCATTGTCTATCAGAAATAGCTAGATTTGCATATGGAGAAACTCTATTCCTTCTTGTGCGAACACCTTTTCCTCTGCCAGATATAATGTGGTGAGTGAATCAAGTAATCCAAGTTATAAGTAGTTGTTTAAATTAAATAATAGCACTGTAAAACTAATTAAATAATAGCACTGTAAAACTATATCAACTAGTCAAGACTGCTATGAACCAAGAAAGTGATTATACAAAGACCATGCATATGGCTTTACACACAGATAGGGTACATCAATCATACAGTTGGAGGGGTCTGGCCTCACTGACCTTCAGATAATATACTAATTGTTGTGTAATTAATTTTTATAAGATCTGGTATCATAATCTGCATTTCCTCGCCAACAGTGATTATTTATGACATGTATCTGATTAAGAAAAGATTAGTGTGCCTCCTAGTGAGATTCCAGTTGTAACTTCAAAGTGTCAAATGCCAGGGAAATTAACCTCAAGATATAACAAGTGGTCTGTGTATGTTAATTAAATGTATCCAGAATGTCAGCATCTTTATTATCACATTAATTATTAAGTGTAAGCTGGAATGGCTGTTTGTATAAATAGTACTTATATTACACATAAGTACAATACTAATCACAGATTTCAATTGACGTAATATTTCTGATATAAAAGAAGAACTATACGCACTTTTAAGCAACACAAACAAAAGTTTAGTCATTTTTTTTAAATAAGATTTGGCATATTTTATGAAAATCAACCAACCTGATGTACAAAAAATACTGAAATTAAATGGTGGTTCATTACTTCTATCAAAATAAAGAAATCATTGCATTCTTATTCAACACAAACAAAAATGTTAAGTATTTTAATCCTTTTTATTAAGATTCTATATAAAAAACTTATCTTGAGGCCTCCAAAATAACTGATTACAAATAACATTGCATTATTTAAAAAATAAAAAGAAGAAATATTGGTAATTTGAAACAATAGTTTAAACAATACTCTTAATCAATAAAAACAAAACATAAATTTAAGTATCTTAATTGTTAATTTTTTTTAATTGCATCATCTAGTGACATTAAATAGAGTACTTATTTTGAATGATAACTTTTTTTGCTTTTTAGTTATACAGAAACATTCTGAGCATGACATTGTTTTGCACTTATGCAATTTATTTGGCAGAAAAATAACAGAATATGAAGTTATACATATAATACGTGAAAAAGTAATTTATATGTTTTTTATGTGTTATTGCGACCAAGTTGATTACAAACTCAGGAGTAAAGGTGTCTTCATAGAGGTCCGCGTTTATCAATTGTAAATACTGTGGAGTTTGTTTTACATAAGAATTTTAATTTTATACGTATCCGTCTGATCCGTGCATATAATTTAATTTACTGATCGATCACTGACCGTTGTCACGGTTACTCTCACATAGCTTATTTGACGTATCAGACAGATTCAATGGGTCATCAATCACTGATCATTCACCAATCAGTCAAACATTCTTCACTGTTTATTCACCAATCAGTCAAGGTCACGTCAACTGTAACACCTAAGGTTGCAAGTACTGTAGGTAGGCTTAATACTGACCCAAATACAGTGGATTAACCAAACGTTTTCCATCACATTATTGTCTGGAGACTGTGCATGCAAGCTTATATCATGAATTCCCTTCTGGTCAACAAAATCTTGGTTGGACCATACATGATGGTCAGGAGCATTGTCATCCTAGAAAAATCACCTCCCAGAATATGCAGATCTATCACTGGCTACAGCTTCTTAATATTTAACAGCCGATCAAAATATTACCCTACAGGAGCAAGTTTTCAGACTCCATTCCAACAAATACACACCCAAATAACGACTTAGTATTTGGTTTGTGATATCGACAGTTAAAGAAAGTGTGGTCTACATTCCTTATCTCTTTTTAGCTCACCTGGCCCTTTGCAAGTGAGCTTTTCTCATCACTTGGCGTCCGTCGTCGTCCGTCGTCGTTAACTTTTACAAAAATCTTCTCCTCTGAAACTACTTGGCCAAATTAAACCAAACTTGGCCACAATCATCATTGGGGTATCTAGTTTAAAAAATGTGTCCGGTGACCCGGCCAACCAACCAAAATGGCCGCTATGGTTAAAAATAGAACATAGGGGTTAAATGTAGGTTTTGGCTTATATCTCTGAAACCAAAGCATTTAGAGCAAATCTGTCATGGGGTAATATTGTTTATCAGGTCAAGATCTATCTGCCCTGAAATTTTCAGATGAATCTGACAACCCGTTGTTGGGTTGCTGCCCCTGAATTGGTAATTTTAAGGAAATTCTGCAGTTTTTGGTAATTATCTTGAATAATATTAGCTCACCTGGCCCACTGGGCCAAGTGAGCTTTTCTCATCACTTGGCGTCCGTCGTCGTCGTCCGTCGTCGTTAACTTTTACAAAAATCTTCTCCTCTGAAACTACTTGGCCAAATTAAACCAAACTTGGCCACAATCATCATTGGGGTATCTAGTTTTAGATATGTGTCCGGTGACCCGGCCAACCAACCAAGATGGCCGCCATGGCTAAAAATAGAACAAAGGGGTAAAATGTAGATTTTGGCTTATATCTATGAAACCAAAGCGTTTAGAGCAAATCTGACATTTGGTAAAATTGTTAATCAGGTCAAGATCTATCTGCCCTGAAATTTTCAGATGAATCGGACAACCCGTTGTTGGGTTGCTGCCCCTGAATTGGTAATTTTAAGGAAATTTTGCCGTTTTTAGTTATTATCTTGAATATTATTATAGATAGAGATTAACTGTAAACAGCAATAATGTTCAGCAAAGTAAGATCTACAAATAAGTCAACTTGACAAAAATAGTCAGTCGACCCCTTAAGGAGTTATTGCCCTTTATAGTAAATTTTTAACCATTTTTATAAATTTTTGTAATCTTTTAAAAAAATCTTCTCCTCTGAAAGTGCTAAGACAAATTTAAGCAAACTTGTCCACAATCATCATTAGGGTATCTAGTTTAAAAAATGTGTCCGATGACCCCGCCCGCGAACCAAGATGGCCGACATGGCTAAAAAATAGTACATAGGGTGAAATGTAGTTTTTGGCTCATATCTCTGAAACCAAGACATTTAGAACAAATCTGACCGGATAAAATTGTTCATTAGGTCAAGGTCTATCTGCCCTGAAATTTTCAGGCCAATCAGGCAACACGTTGTTGGGTTGCTGCCCCTGAATTGGTAATTTTAAGAAAATTTTGCAGCTTTTGGTTATTATCTGAATATTATTATAGATAGAGATAAACTGTAAACAGCAATAATGTACAGCAAAGTAAGATCTACAAATAAGTCAACATGACCAAAATTGTCAATTGACCCCTTAAGGAGTTATTGCCCTTTATAGTCAATGTTTCACAATTTTTCATACATTTTGTAAATTTTTGTAAATTTTTACAAAACATTTTCCACTGTAACTACTAAGCCAAGTTCATTATAGATAGAGATTATAGTAAGGAGCAAGAATGTTCAGTAAAGTAAGATCTACAAACACATCAACATCACCAAAACACAATTTTGTCATGAATCCATCTGTGTCCTTTGTTTAATATGAACATAGTCCAAGGTTAGCGACACAGGCTATTTAGAGCTTCTAGTTATAGATAGAGATAAACTGTAAACAGCAATGATGTACAGCAAAGTAAGATCTACAAATAAGTCAACATGACCAAAATTATCGATTGACCCCTTAAGGAGTTATTGCCCTTTATAGTCAATTTTTTACAATTTTCATAAATTTTGTAAATTTTTGTAAATTTTTACAAAATATTTTCCACTGTAACTACTGGGCCAAGTTCATTATAGATAGAGATAATTGTAAGCAGCAAAAATAAACAGTAAAGTAAGATCTACAAACACATCATCACCAAAACACAATTTTGTCATGAATCCATCTGTGTCCTTTGTTTAATATGCACATAGACCAAGGTGAGCGACACAGGCTCTTTAGAGCCTCTAGTTTGACAACATGAACAATTTGAACATATCCAATACTTATCTTACTCTCATCCAAGAAAAATGTTTTTTCTTTTAACTCTCCATCACCTTTTTTCACCATGTGAATGTCTTTTTTATGATTGACCTTCATGATAACTTTCTTCCTGTGAACATGCCTGTGATACTTTTGTTAATGTAAATGGTGCTCAATAGATATGGTATGCATGTTTGAACATGTTGAATACAGGAACACCATTTTCTTTATTAATAAACTTGTTTATGATGTCACCTAAAGAATTCATCAACCTTGTTTTTTACAATGTTTTCCAGCTTGCAGTAATCACATGGTGTTGCAGTTTTTTTTCTACAGAACCTGTGTATAAAAATTTACGGACTACACCAAAAACTGTTCATCTTTGTATTTTAATTATGTTGCACATTTTTCAACTAGAATAACCATTCTGGAACTTTTCTGTCATCATATTTTGTATCCGTGTTGAGTTTCTTATCTTTTTTTCCCGTCTCGTTTTTTTAATTTTTCCAACTATACTAAAATGGCATACAACAACAAAACGTGATGGTAGACCATGCGATAATCAAAACACTGGTTATAAATACTTTAATCATCAGTGACATGAATTATGTTAGGCAAGGTTATTTAAAACTGATTCAGCAAGTAAGAAAAAAGAGACTCCATTGTGACTGAAGACTTTGTGCACATCTTTGTGTAGACAGTTTTCAGCATAAGATAGGTCTCATATATTTTTCTCTTTAGAATATATGCTATAAAAATCGTACTGTTACAGAGCTTAAATGGGTTCAAACTTTGAGTTTATACTGTCATGAAAAATATTACTATGAAATTATCCATGTAGCTTTACAATTTTATATTAACCAAAAGGGAAAATTAATAAATATTCAGTAGGTGTAAAGACATCAAGAATATTTTCTGATATAGATATGACCCATTTATTCGGAATCAAAATATTAACTTAAATGACTATCTTACAGATTTCTCTGAGTCTGGCTGGAGAAATGAGATGAACATTACAGCTGATGCTCAGCTGTTCCCTGTAGACATAGCCAGACTGACAGAGGCTCTATATGTTGGACCTTATCAGGCGGATACACTTTGTCAGGGATACAATTCACCGTACACAGGAGCTATAAATGGATGGAAAGATGGTAGGTTATATGCATAAAATGAAGTGGTTTTGGTCTCAACTGCAAAAAGTGACAGAAGTGAGACTTTATGCATCAAGGTCAACATTTGTTAAAGTTAGCAAATGATATTACAAAATTAATGTACTAAAAATTGATATATAGTGTTCCATGTTGCATTGCCATGTCAAATATTAGAATGTCAACTTCAACATGTTCAAGATTGTATTGTTGTCAATTTGAGCGCCAATTCATCAACTTAACAGTACACTTCTGAATTTTTAAAGGTTGTTATGTAGAAATTGAATGATATTCATACTATTTACATCACAGAATGCTCTGCTTCTGACTTGGAGAACTTACCATCGGATACGATGAAGTGTTACATACCTGCCAACTGTAGCTTTATCAGGTGTTGTCATGAAGTTGGCCTACTTGGTACACCAATGGAAACAGAGCTTGAAATTGACTCGTGTAACTTTGAACTGTCTGTCAGGATAGAAAAACTTGAGTTCAAAGTTCCCTTCCATGACTACCAGTGGGGTAAGTTCTAGTTACGGGTCAGTTTATTTGACATCAAGATTTTAATAATTTTTTTGCAAATGTAATATTTACGTATTTAAAAAAAAAATTGGGGGGAAGAGGTATTACATATTTTGCTATATTATATGTTGATGTTCGAAAATATAAATGGGGAAATTCATTTTATTTTATGGCGTGATATTTAACAAAAAATAGTCTAATTCAGATAGAATATTTTGTAAAATTAATATAGACCTTAGGAATTTTAGAGATAGATTCCTGCATTTTATGTAGACTAATGTCACCATTAATGTAATTAGACATTTTGAAAAACGCCTGTAAAAGTTTAAAGTCAATTTATGAAATTACTACAATTATTTTACAGAATGAAATGTTCACAAAAACTGAGCCAGATTTTGTTATACTCATTTTGCCCTGTTGTTTTTAAAATTACATTGTTTGCTTTAAATCTGCTGTCTTAGCACTGCAGCTGCAGTAAATTTGTTGTTACCTTGATCATGGCACATGTAATCAGCTCTATCACAACTTTTTTCACTTAATGTTTCAAAAACATGAGATTTTGGAAATAGCACATCCATGAAAATTTTCTTTTCCGTGTGTTCCCTAAATATTTAAAGTAACATTAGCATTATCTTGTTGACATACATCTTTTGGCTTATCAGAGCATCCAACAGGCTGAAGTAGATATTATGGTTGATGATTCATGTACATTTGTATATCATTTTACACTAACTCTAGGTCTATCTGTCAATGTAACTGGTCTGGCTTCTTATGGAGTTCATGCAATTCCCTTAGGTTTTGTTTCGTGGTTTCCTTGATTTGTCTCTTGGTCTCTTTTAAATGTTATAGCATCGGTTATCTACTGTTGCCTTTATTCATCAGCTTGATAAGACTTAAAAATTCCTATGAGGCAGTAAAATAAGATACTAATATATATGCATCACAACCAAACACAGGCTGATATGTTGAAACTCATGCTATAAAGAGGAATCTGGTTGGATATGTAGAATGTATTAATTCACATTCTTTCTTAATGTGGAAAAGCTGTTGTTAAATTAGAGTATTTTAAAATATAATTCAATAGCACTACATTTCTGAAGAATTTGATCAAATAAAAGATTTTCTTTTAAAGCATTAGCTGTCAAATTCATGTTTATCTATTTGACTCCAATTTTCATATTTGATTTATAACATACTAAAACATGTAAAATGAATATTCAAATCATAAAATGTTTGAAATAAACAATTTACAATGCGTAGACCTGATAATATGTATCAGCATTTTGTGTGTATTTTAGACTAGTCGCCATCTTATTAACCATATATGTGACCTCCGAAGACTGCAAACAGTCATATAACCTGATACACACATTAATATAGATATAAATAGATAGTAAATAAATTCAATTAGATTTTTCTTGGTCTTTAAGATTTCATATTATAGGTTAAAAAAAATATGTTAATTATCGTTTTTACCGGTATAAGAATGAGTTTTTGTGGACCAAATCAATCAACAAATCCTTGACCCTTGTTTCACTTTCAGTGTTAACATTATTTTCCTTTTCGTAGCTGAACACGCCTGTGCTATCTCTAGCTAAGGGGTTGAAATGAAGGTCACCTGAATACTGATTTAATTAGGTCAATGTTTGGAAAAATTAAACCAATCTAGCTGCTAAAAGCTAATTATTTTTTCACTTTTTCATTTTCATTAATGATTGAAAAAAAAATATATTAAGTTTTTTTTATATCTCGTTGCAAATGCCCTTTAAAAGAAAGTCCATGTGCAAGTTTTTGTTAGTACTATTTAGCCACTCAAGTATAAAAAAAAATATTGAAATTTATTTTATCTGAACCATTTGTTGCTTTGTTTGCTAGAATTTGTTTTGGTCATATTTATATCAATAATTTCCTATTTTTACAAATTACCAAAAACCGCACAGGCAATGTGTTGAATTTTGTATCTTAATTTCAGTCATTTTACAAAGCCTGTGAAGGTTAGGCATTTTATAAATGGATAGAAAATTCAGTCATTTTACAAAATGCTTAAATTTAGAAAATCCCTGTAACATTATTTCCATAAATCATTAAAAAGAGGAATATAAGATTTTTTTTATGGCCCAATTTTTTTCCAAATAAATGGTTGATTTTCTAATTGTTAGCTCACCTGGCCCAAAAGGGCCAAGTGAGCTTTTCTTATGACTTTGCGTCCGTCGTCGTCGTCTGGCGTCTTCCGTCGGCGTCGTCATCCTCCGTTAACTTTTACAAAAATCTTCTCTGAAACTACTGGGCCAAATGAAATTAAACTTGGCCTAAACCGTCCTTAGGGTATCTAGTTTAAGAAATGTATCTGATGACCCTGCCCATCCACCATGAATGCCGCGATGGCTAAAAATAGAACATGGGGGTAAAATACATTTTTTGGCTTATAGCTCTGAAACTAAAGCATTTAGAGCAAATCTGACAGAGGTTAAAAATTTCATCAGGTGAAGACCTATCTGCCCTGAAATTTTAAGACGCATCAGATAACCTGTTGATGGGTTGCTGCCTCAGATTTGGTAATTTTATGGAAATTTTACAGTTTTTGGTTATTATCTTGAATACTATAAAAGATAGAGATAAACTGTAAACAGCAAAATTGTTCAGCAAAGTAAAATCTACAAATAATTCATCATTGCCAACATGGTCAAATGACCCCTTTAGGAGTTATTGCCCTTCATAGTCAATTTTTTACAATTTTTTGACAATTTTTGTAATCGTTTACAAAAATCTTCTCCTCTGAAACTACTGAGACAAATTAAACCGAACTTGGCCTCAATCATCATTATGGTATCTAGTTAGAAAATATGTCTGATAACCCTGCCTTCCAACCAACATGGCTGCCATTTATAAAAATAGAACATTGGGGTAAAAAGCAAGTTTTGTCTATTATTTTTTTGAACCGTTATAAATACAGAAAATCTGAAAGGAATAAATATGTTCAGAATAATGAGCTCTACCAATTGTCCATACATACGTCAAAACTGTTAGACAAATTCTTATAGGAGTTATTGCCCATAAATGACAAATTTTACGATTTTTTTTTTCATTTTTGGCTTTTATCATGAAAACTTTGATATTTAGAGAGAAACTTTTTTCTGTTAAGCCTCATTATGATAGATAAATAAACACTCTAAATCTAAAATATTATCAGCAAGGCAAGATCTATTAATAAGTCAAAGAAACTAAAGAGACTAAAATATCAGTAATACAAGATTAACAAAATAGAGATTTTTTTATGGTCTATTCTTGTCTACAATGTTGGAGAGTGTCCCTTGTTTGATATTTCCATAGACCAAGGTGAGCGACACAGCCTCTTGAGAGCCTCTAGTTTACTTTGCAGTGAACTTGTACTATCATCTTTAAATTATTCATAAATGTTTGGAATTTGACATTGTGAATATTATTTATTTGCCATAGTGGTCAAAGTGACAATATTTTTAACAATTTACAGGAGTTGTACAAAGTATGGACCTGTTTGGTTTGTTGACAATGGAGTAAGTATCAACTTATTTTAGTTTAGTAAATGCAGAACAGCATAATTAAAAAAATAAGTGTGAGTATAATCATTTGACCATTAAACAATGGTTAAACACCCCTAGGGTAGGGTATAGAAATATGCTCAAAGTGTTCCATGTAATATTTCTTTCAAAAGACCCTACTCTTTTATAAATGCAAAAATTATGAGTTATTTTGAATGTTTTCATAATTTTTTTATTAGTCTTGGTATTAATCTCTTAATATATGAGGATCCAGTAAACCTACACTGTAATACCTTCACAACTGGCACATGGACACACCACTGCTTCTTCTCTGCCTCCCTGTAGGATACAGTGGCCGAGTGGAATATAAAGCAGTGTAGAAAGTAAACTTTATGATGTATAAAAAACAGTCAAGTTTGGGCAAACTAACCACAGTTTATTTCAAATTCATACAAGGCAATAATAATCATGACTAGCGATAATCTAGAATTGAATAGAAGATAAGCCAAACTGTGGTTCTCCAAAAATTGAATTGTCCAAACCTGAGAAGTAGTGGTAGGAATTTAAGTAAGAAGTAAAAAAAAAACACACTTAGATAATCATATTTATAGTACATGTGAACAAAATTTTAACTAATCAGAATTTATTCATAGGAAATGAATGATTGGTTATCTATCAATTTGCTACACCGTATGCAATATAATGCTTTATTATGATAGAATAACAAAACTCTGTATTCTAAGAATGAAAGAAATGTGGGGAATATATTTATGAAACAGCATTTCAACATATAACAAAAAAAAAAGAAGACACCATGCGCACGGGTAGAGCAAATGATCTCCATTTAAAGACAATTTTCTATACAACATACCAATATTCAAATTGTTAGGAGTCTTAAAAAGTTGTAAATGAAGTTAGCATATTCTAAAAGATCTGTCATATTCTCATTGAATTCTCTACACACTAAGATATAAGTACGGACATTAATTTATGAGGTTACCAACTTAGAACTGATACATGAACATGCGGCAAATTTGGAATTGTTTTTTAGCAGTTAATCTTGACTATTGGAATAGAAATGTTATAAAAAAAGGAAAAATAGGCATCAGAACAGAAAAAGCAGGATACATTTAAGAATATATTCTTTTTCCTACAGCTTTGTGATAGAGAATCTATATGAGGCACAACAGTTCTTAATTTCCATGAATCTGACATTATCCTATGAATCAGCTGGACCCATTAAAGAAGCCAATATACTAATGGACAAGGCCCTTCTATCTAAGAGACAGTGTGATTGGAGCTCTGATTTCCATATTTCTGGTAAGTATTTATATGTTTATCATCAACATTTAACAGCTAACTTGGAATAACTTAGAATTACCCATTTTGTTAAATACTTGATATAGCACTGAGATCTCTTGTTTATTTTTTGTTTATATGTCCCCCATGAGCGGAGAACATAGATATACTGGGCCTCCATCTGTGCTTCCGTCCATCCAGTCTTGTTAGCGCTATCACGTGTACAGTTCTTCATAGATTTTAATGAAACTAATATCCTATGTGTATTTCAGTAATGTCTTGGACACGAAATCAGTGCCGATAAAGTATTTATAAAGAGATATGCCCCTTGGAAACATTAATAAATGGAAAATTGCATCTTTAGAGCTCTCATGTGTACAATTCGTGCCAGATTTTAATGAAACTTATATCAGAGGATAATTTTAGCAATTTCTTAGGCAAGTTCCCAAAAACAGTGCTGATCAATTATATTTAAAAGAGTTATGCCCCTTAGAAACCTTAATTATATGGAAGTTGCATCGTTAGCGATCTCATGTGTACAAGTCTATACAGATTTTTATGAAACTGGTTTCATAGGTTGATATCAGCATTGCCTTGGACAGTTTTGAAAATCAGTGCAGATCAATTATTTTAAAAGAGTTATGCCATTCATTTGTACAATTCTTGCCAAATGTTATGAAACTTATATCATAGGTTTATATCAGCAATGTCTTTTACACTTAAAAAAATCAGTGCTGCTAAAAATATTTTTGAGGAGTATTGCCCCTAGGAAAATTAATTACATGTATAACGGAAATTGCATTGCTTTGCTCTGTAAAAAACTGTTTTATTTAAGTTATTGCTCTTGTACCTTGGATAGATAAAATATGTGCAAGGCGGGGAACAATGGAACTTTTTTATATCATCTTTTTTTTTGCATTTTGGACAATGCTAAAAATAAATTTGTTCAACATGTCCTTTTTAGGTATAATGAATTGTTGTGAAGATATCTCAATAAGCAACAAATACAGAAATAAGTTTCTGTTGTGTTAGACAATTTCAAGGTTTATAGATATTTACTAATAACTTATATTGGATAGCAATATTGCTGTCATGCTGTGATACATGGTCACATATTTTGATTTTGATGCCCTCTTCTAAGGCCATGATGATATTTGATGAATGTGGACCAAAATTTGTCTTAAGAAAATTGTTTTCAGTTGTTAAATCAAATACAATAAATGAAATTGCAACCTTGACTTAATATATTGTCACATATGATGAGACACAGATTAAAAACAGTTTTCTGTTCGTGGGAGGTTGGGGCTTTTTTTTAGGGGGGGGGTGAACAGCTATCAAATTACATACCCCTCATATTATTTATCAATCAGTATATATAACATCTATATATAACTTGTCATATATTTGTGGACAATGAAAAACCTATGCCTACAGTTGGGTGCAGACCAAGCATTACATAAAGTAAATGCACGTTAATGCCGCGTGCATATATTTCGTTAGTTAACTTCAATTTTGGCATTTACTAGTAAACGCGCGTTTACTATAATTACGTTAAAGTGGTCAAAATGGAAATTTCTAATGTCTACCCGAGAAAATGCGCGTTTACTCTGTGTCCATTTAGTCAGTAGTAAACTGGCGTTTACTTCAGATTTCACAAGTTTATTTTTACGTGCACTTAAAAGTAAACAGGCGTTTACTACAGATTTTACAAGTGTATTTTAATGTGCACTTGAAAGTAAACGCGCGTTTACTTTTCGCGTTGACTGATTGTGTAAATTATGAAATGATTAAACTTCATGTACATTTGTACATTAATTTTATTTTGTAAAAGCGACTTTTATCTTAATATTTTATGTATATGTGTTGAAAACCAAAACAATTCAAAAACACTTTTTATTTGAAATATTAACTTTTATTAATTGCAAAAAATCAGTTCCAATAACTTTAAGTAGCGGATTTTCTATATTTTCTTTTGAAAATTAAGTTACATGTACAACTAATATCGACTCATCAATGGCTATAAAATTACACATTTCCGATCGACAAATATACATGCAGCTATATTATAAATAAAAGGAAATGTTGTTTCTTTTAATTAGAAGGTGGATAGAAAGGTTATCCTACGCATCAGAAAACTATTTTTATATGATGGGATATAAACATCATGGTTTATGTTGCTTCGTTCCCCATTTTTAACAGTTTCTGCCTGAATATAACTCTATGCATTTGATACATGGATTTTTCATCGTAATTCACCTATTTGCCTTGGATATACGTATCTGTGTTTGCCAAATGTTCAAACGAAATTGTACAGTGTAGGGATATATAAGGTGTTGTATAATTATGTACCATCTCGTCAATTTAGACAGACTTATCCTTTACCAATTATAAATGATATCTGGGACATCCGAAAAAATATACTCGTTCTAAACATGATGAAATATTTGCCCCTGGACGTTAAGCTACAAACAAAATCAATCAACCGACATAATATAATAACAGTATACTTTTCCAAGAAGAGATCTTCTCATACTTTTCATTATAAAATACAATCAGTCATGTCAGTGTTGGATGATGCCGTTAAATAGTTTTGTTTTAAATACAAACCATCCAAAACTACTGACTTTAGTGACAGTTCATTATTATGGATACAGAGAGGAAATGCTGGCACTCTAAATTGATGCGGACAAAATCTTGCAGTCATTGTGTTCCAATATTGCTGTCATTTGTATTATACAAATCAATCCTGACATAAAAATATTACTGATTTACTATGCAACTATAGGATTTACATAATAAAGTGCAAATATGGTCAATTTTGGTTGATGCAGACAAATTATTTTGTTATACGAGTCAGCCTGAGGTATCAAAACTACTGAATTTTTTTTACGATACAATATTTTGAATAAAAAGAAGACATGCTGGCACTCTAAATTGATGCAGACAAAATTTTGTAGTCATTGTGTTCCAATATTGCTGTCATTTCAATTATACAATCAATCCTGACCATAAAATCTTACTGATTAACTATGCGACTTTAAGATTTACATATAATAAAGTGCAAATATATTCAATTTTGGTGGATGCGGATAAATTATTTTGTTATACAAGTCAGACTGAGGTATCTAAACTACTGAAATTTTTTTACGATACACTATTTTGAATAAAAAGAGGACAAGCTGGCACTGTAAATTCATGTGGACAAAATTTTGTAGTCATTGTGTCACTATTGCTGTCATTTGTATTATACAATCAAATTACTGATTTACTTTGCGACTATAAGATTTACATTATAAACAGATAAAGTGCAAATATGGTCAGTTTTGGTTGATGTGATCAAATAATTTTGTTGTCGAGCTTGTGACTTTTGTCATACTTGATGCTTCATACTTTGTATATAGATGCCTTATGTTACGAAGTTTCCGTCTGTCATATGTCCATTGTCCTTGACCTCATTTTCATGGTTCAGTGACTACTTGAAAAAAAGTCAACATTGTTTGTAATGTTAATTTCTTTCTTATTAAGAGTAATAGTATAACTATATTTAGTATGTGCGTACCTTGCAAGGTCCTCATGCCGTCAGACCATTTTCATTTGACCTCGTTTCATTGATCAGTTTTTGTGGTCAAGTCCATATATCAGATACTATAAGCAGTAGGTCTACTATATTTGGTAAATGGAATGATTGTAAGATGTACATGTCCAACTGGTAGGTGTCATCTGACCTTGACCTCATTTTCATGGTTCAGTGGTCAAAGTTAAGTTTTTGAGTTTTGGTCTTTTTTTCTAATACTATATGCAATAGGTCAACTATAAATGGTGTATGGAAATATTTTATGATGTACATGTCTGTCCCACAGGTTTTATTTGACCTTGACCTCATTTTCACGGTTCATTTCTCAGTGTTAAGTTTTTGTGTTTTGGTCTGTTTTTCTTCAACTATAAGTAATAGATCAACTATATTTGATGTATAGAAGGATTGTAAGGTGTATATGTCTGTCTGGCAGGTATCATCTGACCTTGACCTCATTTTCATTGTTCAGTGCTCAATGTTAAGTTTTCATGGTTAAGTTTGTTTCTTAGATACTATAAGCAATAGGTCAACTATATTTAATGCCTAAATTGATTGTAAGGTGTACATGTCTGTCTGGCATGGTTCATCTGACCTTGACCTCATTTTCATGGTTCATTGGTCAATGTTAAGTTTTCTTGTTTAAGACTGTTTCTTAGAAACAATAAGCAATAGGTCAACTACGTTTGGTTTATGGAATGACCTTGACCTTATTTTCTTGAATCATAATAAGTGTATGTGTTACTTGTAGTAAAGCTTTGTATTTAGGACTATCAACATGCAATCAATGGTTAGTAAAGAAGGCGAGACATTTCAGCGTGTGCACTCTTTATTATATTTGAGCCAGTCTGAGATGTGAAAACTGCTGGATTTTGGTGATGATTTAATTATTTAAATAAAAGCAAGACATGCTTGAACTGATTATTTATGCAGAACAAGAATATTAAATATACTTAGATTAATTTTCAATTAGTTAAAGAGGTGTAATATCATTAACTGTAATTGTCAATATGTCAATCGAAAATGACCAGTTGGTATTTTAATTGTGATGTACCTTATCATTTGATATGTAAGGTCAGTGTATCCAAGATACGATGACAATCTGCGTTAGCGCACGTTTACTACAAACAGTAAACGTGCGTTTACTTTTTACGAAAATAGAAGACGCGCCTTTTTTCACGTTAACGCGTAAGTAAACGTGAGTAAACACCGCATTAACTTTTTCCGCCCGTCTACATAAAATGCTTGGTCTGCACTCAACTGTATATATAGGTTCATTTGTATCCATAAACAATGCCATATCAATCATTTGAAAGGTACCTTAGGAAATTGGTTTCATTTGAAGTATACAAAGTTTTGAGTATAAATTAGGTATGTATATCAAAATATTGGGATTTATAGCATCAGCAATTGGTGGTCAGCTCAGTTGAAATACCACACAGGAAGATATAATTGAGAAAGACATTAATTTGACAAATATCTAATGCATTTAAAACACACGATGGTTTTAACTTCATCGAATAATTATGTACAGACAAGTTATCTTTTGTGTGGCGATATGGTTTTTTATTAATACAAACAGATTTTTCATTTTTGTATTTCAAAGCAAACCAAATTAAAAAAAAAATATAAAAAAAATCACGTAACAAGATATATATCGGAAGAAAATTAGAATCAGCAAAAAAGGAGAAACGGACCCATACCCTAATGAGGGTGTGAAACATGCCAAAATCAGTTACCTTGACCTTGAGTACTTTGATCTGTATGATATTAGAATCTTGTCCTGGGCATATCTGTTGTAATGTAGAACTAAGCTTGATCACAATTGATATACAGATGATCATGGGAAATCAATGTTTTCATATTTTTAAATCAGGTCACTGTGACTTTTACTCTGAGCACTTTGTTTGGAATTAAAAAAAATATGTTCTCTTTTAAATACTAGAATTAATTCATTTTAAAAAAACTCATTTTGGGAAGCTTTTATGGATTTGTTTAAAATAAATGCAAGAATTCATTTCTTAATTTACAGTTTTTAAAACCTTCTGATACTAGCATATATAAGATTGCAAATTCTGACAAAAAAAAAAACTTTTTGACAATAAAACATTCAATACACTTTGAAATTTAAAAAAAAAAATTGTTCTTGATGTTTCAGATTTTTCACTGTACACATATTTGATAAACAGAAACCAAAAACCTACTGGTCCTTTGACATCAAGCATGTTACTACAGTTTATGGAAGATACCAATCTGGCACCATTCATGCAGGATGAAATGTGTAACAGAACTGGTGCCCTGTATAACAATCAATCATGGACACAAGGTACAAAACAATTGTTTATCTTATTTCATAGCTGCATGCTTTTGTAACCTTTGAATTATGAGAACTCTGTCAACTTCATACAACTTTTATCTTCAATATACTCAGTTTGGACACATATATAGCAACTTGCTATATGTAAAACATGTGCATTCTTACGGAAAGTGAGTTGGGACCCACTGATCTAAATGATGTTTTTACCTAGTGACCTTTTAGTTTCAATCATATTTTTAAAAAAATCTATAAAATTAACAAGAATAGCAAATTATGCATTTTTATATTCTGCATCCATACATTGAACTTTTAAACCCAGCCAAATGCTCTGACTATTATATTGAAATAAGATAGCTTCATCAAGCACTATCCAATTCTCACTCGAAATAAAACCTATTATTAACTATTTTTTTTTCAGATTGTGCTGCTAAACTAACATTGCCAACTTTATCAGACAAAGTTAATGGCCACATAACTACTATGTGTACAGGTGTGCAAGGTTGTATAGAGAATGATCTGATTCAGAGGTCAATTGAATTCTCTCTTCTACTGGATCCCTGTTCAAACAGACTTAGTATCAGTATAGAGAGAGCTAGATACAACAGAACACTCAGTGATTTTGAATATGGTTAGTTACATGTGAATATGGGAAAGTTATATTTGAATATGATAAGTTACAAGTGAACAGGGTAAGTTACGTGTGAATAGGGTAAGTAATGTGTGAATGGGGTAAGTAACATGTGAAAAGGGTAACTGACAAGTGAACAGGGTAAGTTACATGTGAATAGGGTAAGTAATGTGTGAATAGGGTAAGTAACATGTGAGCAGGGTAAGTGACAAGTGAACAGGGTAAGTTACATGTGAATAGGGTAAGTAACGTGTGAATAGGGCAAGTAACATGTGAATAGGGTAAGTTACAAGTGAACAGGGTAAGTTACATGTGAATAGGGTTAGCTACATTTGAAATATAGGATAATGTATCAGATGAAGAAATTGTCTTTTTGTGGCCATGTAATTATTCCATAAATATTTTTAAATCTTGAGACAGTGTCAGGTTAAACTTTTTTTCTATTATAGGGGAGGATCATTCCTACAATCTACAAGGAATTGTCCGTCTCAAGTAAGTGTGTCACATTTTTAATGAAATTTAGAAAGAAAAAAAAAACAGTTTACAAATGATCTGCTGAATAACAAAAAGAACATAAAACTAACTATAAAAATCAGGTCAGAAAAAGCCTCGTACTCAATATGGGCATTATCACATTAAATAATGTTAGTCTGAAAGATAAATGCAAATTTAGTGAAGGTGAAAAAAAGAAATAAATTTAAATGAATTCATAGAACTACACAAGTTGCCAAATTATTGCCTTTTCAAGTACAGAGGAAGGTTCTGATGGACAAAATAATTCAAGTCACTTACTTAAGATGAATTAGAGATATCTATTATTGTTAAGCTCTTTTATTTTTTTCTCTAACATGCTTTTTAATTTGTATTTCAGATATAACATAGAGGATCTTTACACAGAGCGTTCTTATCTGTTAAATGTGGTTGTCTATTTTTGCTATGAGACATCGGGTATTACCTGTACACTTGAGAACACATTTACAATCTTTGAGAACACCAAGTTACCTAAAATAGTGTGTAGCTACGATCAAGGATTCAAAACCTCAGGTATAGATGCACCATTTTCAGTTAATCTGATTATCTTTTGTCTAATTGAAACAAAAAACATTTAGGGAATCCATTCATGACACATAATTGGAATGTGCTGAGCAAAAAACACAAAAATGTAAAGGAACAGTGCTTTTATTGCACTTCAGTTTTTCAGTATTTTTTATGAATAAGGACATGTTTGAATTTATAGTTTTTGAAAAATATATGGATTGTATAAGTTCAGAGAGCACTCAGGGATCAACAAAATACTTTATTTTAGTATACTTTTAGTTACAACAGTGAGGATCAAAAGATCTTTAACTTTTTTTGTTTTACAATGTTGTCAATATTTTAACTACATGTGAACAGTTTGTAAGGTATGTTATTTTTTCTATTATTTTTCAGGTTTCTCTAAGACCCAGTGGTATGCTGACAATGGAATACCAGACGGACAAGTTCTGCCTGACTGGGCAGCATCATCATTCCTGAATGACCTTCACATTGCTGCTTATTTACAGACATATCAATGTGGACAGACTGGTCAACAATTTACAGATGGATGGAATCTTGGTGAGGGTTTCAATTTCAACCTTATTTTTTTACATTGAAAAATTGTAAAATACTAAAAAAAAGGTATGGATTAAGACCATGAAAATAAAATGAAACAAAAAAAAAAAATTAAGAACACTGGGTCTTAAAGAAAAATACAAAAAAGATCAGGAGAGTTAAAGTAGTGGAAAAATATTTTTTTTATGGTTTTCTTTTTTAATTTTATTAAGATTCATTGACATATCTAACTACATGTACTTAATTTAAGAGTAAATGGTTATATCACAGCAAACTTAAAGAATAGTAAAATCTTTGAATCATCAAGGAGCCTGTTTGGCATAATCAAAAAGATGCTATGACTCTTAATTTGGTTTCCCCTGAATTATGAAATACAACTGTGTACATGATTCTTACATTCAGGATGCCCGAAACTCCTTATCTTGTAGCTCTCTAAACTATTTAGAAATAACCAGACAAAATATATTAAATATTCATACATTTTACAGGCTGTACAAAGACTGTCAGTTTACCAAACATCACCGATTCCACAAAATGTCACCTGACCTCAGCTTGTACTGCAGTAGAATGTTGTACTGAAATTGACTTCCTCTCAAGGTCATTCAGGACTTACCTACATATTGACCCCTGTAAACAAATATTGTATCTTGGAATTGAAAGTTTCAATAGAAAAGTATCTTTGATTGATTATATGGAAGGTAGGTACCAGATGTTTATCAAATAAAAATATATAAGGGCTGATTTTACAGTTATGTCGTCTGCTGAATAAAGTGAGATTTATAACCCGTTTAACCTTTTTTTACATATTGTTTTTAAATTTGAACTTGGAATTGTTTAATTCATATAATTTTTTTTCAATAGAATTGATAGTGGTCAATCATGAAAAAGAGAAGAGTTCCTCACTGTCATGTTTGTTTTTAAAGTTATCACATGTAATTTTACTGCTAAATGATATCAAGCTTTGAATGAAACATTTCAGCTTTAACTTTTTACATAGATTTAATGCAATGAGACCTGTAATTGTAGTAAATTATAAGTAAATCTTTGACATTTGTTCTTTTTAGGAACAAAGAAACAGTTTGCACTTGTTGGATCAGTTATGATTGAGTGAGTGTTGCGTTAAATTATAACAATCTTTAGTTTTCACTACTTTAAAATAATTACTTTTTTTTAAATTTCACTATTTAAATTAAAGCATATCTTGTGTCTGTAAATACTTTTTTCTTTTTCTTATACAAGTGTTTTTCTTTTGTGAATCTTTAATAAAAAGATTAAAAATTACCTTCAGATATCATCTAATGTAACCTTTGTCTAAAAATAACAATTCACACGTATGCATACTTGAATCTCATGTTATATTTTCTAGCTACATAATAGAAGATATACCAGGAGAGAGTATGTACTTGGTCAGTATGAATATATCCAACTGTTATGAGGATGGACAGCCGTGTTATATGGTCACTACAGTCTTTGATAATACCAGATTACCTAAAGATCTGTGTGAATGGAAAACTGACTATCATATTCCAAGTAAGTCAAGATTTTAGACTAGTGTCGGAATATTAAAATTGAAACTTTGTAAAATGAACACATGTAAGATCATGCCAATCAAATTAAAGTTTCTAATGATCTAGGAAATTTTTGGTAAATTATTATCATGGAATAGACTGTGTTATTCAAATTAGTATTGTTAAACTAAAACTTTGACGAGCTAATATGAAGTTCTAATAGTTAAAGGGGGTATCATCCCTGATCCCACTTATTGTTTTGTCAGAATCCTGTATCTCTCTTATCATTGTTATAATAGAGCTTCTAATTTCAGAAGTCTCACCCGACTTTTATTCCCGCTTTCACGCAAAATAATTTCGGCTTTTCATGTGTCACGCTTACAAAAAAATAGGCCAATTGAGCATCATGATTAGACCCAAATGAAATCTACTTGAAAGTATAATTATACCATGTACCATTTCAAATCCTTACAGATTTTTCGTTTGAGACATGGAAAGGAGATCAAGGATTGACCATAGGTGACCCTTTACCAATGTGGGCAGAACTTTTATTATACGAACAGACTGGTCTATCTCCTTATTTACAAGATAGTCAGTCTCAGTGCAGTAGAAACAGTGCCAGGTTTAACTCGTCTATTGCTGGTGGATGGATAAATGGTAGGTGTTATTAGTATATTTGTTGAATGAACAAACTGGTCTGTCTCGTTATTTACAAGATAGTCAGTCTCAGTGTAGTAGAAACAGTGCCAAGTTTAACTCATCTATTACTGGTGGATGGATTAATGGTAGGTGCTGTTAGTATAACAAATGTTAGTCCAATCAGAAGATGTGTTATTAGAAAAACTTAGTTTTAGTTCAATCAGAAGACATGTTATTAGAAGAAACTAATTTTTATACGCCCGTCAAATTTTTGACGGGACGTATTATGTTATACAAATGTCCGGCGTCCGTCCGTCTGTCTGTCTGTCCGTCTGTCTGTCCGGCATAAACATGTCGCACCGTAACTTGAGAATGACTTATCCCAATTTCATGAAACTTAATATAGTTGTTTCTTATGATGGTCAAACGATCTGTATACTTTTTGGTGAAAATAAGATTAAAACTTTTTGAGTTACGGGACTTAGTAACTAAAACAGGTGTGTGGTTTTTTTTCACATGTCGCGCCGTATCTCAAAAACAATTTATGATTATTGCTTAAAACTTTACACACTTCTTAGTTATATTAATCTTAAGATCTGTATACTTTTTGGTGATGATTCAAAATTTTATTTTAGAGATATTGAGTATTTTTTTAAAAAAGGGGGAGGGGTTTTTCACATGTCGCGTTGTATCTCAAAAACAGTTTATGATTATTGCTTAAAACTTTACACACTTCTTAGTTATATTAACCTTAAGATCTGTATACTTTTTGGTGATGATTCAAAATTTTATTTTTGAGTTATTGAGTATTTTGTAAAAAAAGGGGAAAGGGTTTTTCACATGTCGCGCCGTATCTCTAAAACGATTTATGATTATTGCTTAAAATTTTACACACTTCTTAGTTATATTAATCTAAAGATCTGTATACTTTTTGGTTTTGATTCAAAATTTTATTTTTGAGATATTGATTTTTTTTTTTTAAAGGGGGGGTTTTCACATGTCGCGCCGTATCTCAAAAACGATTTATGATTATTGCTTAAAATTTTACACACTTCTTAGTTATATTAATTTTAAGATCTGTATACTTTTTGGTTTTGATTCAAAATTTTGTAAAAAAAAAGGGGGTTTTCACATGTCACGCCGTATGTCAGAAACTATTTATGCTTATTGCATAAAAATTCACACACAAGACGACGGGCGTATCATGCGCTCATGGCGCAGCTGTTTATTAGTTCAATCAGAAGACATGTTATTAGAAAAATAATTTTTAGTTCAATCAGAAGACGTGTTATTAGAAAAATGTATTTTTAGATCAATCTGAAGGCATGTTATTAGAAAAAAAAATTGTTTACTGTACATTCTTATTTTAAAAGAAAAAAAAATGTTCCTTTAATGTTTTGAGATGTTTTGGTTTTAGTGTGGTGATGAATTATTGGTAGTATTGTCACTATAATCATAAAAATAAAACATTCGTGTGAACTTTTCAAAGTCAACTAAAAATCCATCGTAGTAACATCAATATGGCGAACATTAAAGTGTAAGTTTGAAGTAATGCAATGTTCATGGTACCTATTGCTTTTTGGCTGTAATAAATAGATGACATTAATTACTGATTTAACAATCCATAACAAGGAAAATAGAAACGAAAACTGTACTAATTTTATACTTTTATTGTTTTGAATTAAATATCAGACAAGTTTAGCTGAAACATGATGTTCAAGATTACAACGATTGTGTTTTTATCATATAGAATGTAGCCTGAATACCACCATACAAGATCTATCTAGCAGTTACACGGATATAACATGTCATGTGACATCAAGTTGTACGGAAATCGAGTGTTGTGTTGACTCTGTGAAGCTTCATAGACCTTTCCATGTGGTTGTCAAATTAGATCCATGTGATTTTGTCATCAAGGTGGGAATAGAAAACTTCCATTTCAAACTGGCCATGGTAGATTATTCATTTGGTAAGTTGTTGTTGCTAATTTCTTTAATGGTCATGGAAGACTATACATTTGGTAAGTTGTTGTTGCTAATTTCCTTTATGACCATGGAAGAATATACATTTGGTAAGTTGTTGTTGCTAATTTCCTTTATGGCCATGGCAGACTATACATTTGGTAAGTTGTTGTTGCTAATTTTCCTTTTAAAATATTGTCCTGTATGTCAATGAAATATTGCCACTGTACTTACAGCAAGCATTAATTAATCATTCATAAGAATAACAGATATATTGATTGTTATATGCTATGCAAATAAGATAAATATTAATAGTCATCAACGTTCATTTTTTTGCCTTGTCTTGTTCAGTATACCAATTTATTTTTTGTGACTTTCATGAGAAGAAAAATAATATATTTGTTACTTGTTGTTGACATTTGAGTTTCCAGTGTCATATTTATTTTTAATGTCTATTTTAGGTGAACAGAGAAACTTCTCTTTGGGAGGAATAGTCGAAACACAGTAAGTCATAGGAAAAGAAAATGCTGTGTTGAAAATGAAACTCAAGATTCTTCCTGTTGTGTTTATACTATTACAAAGTGTCGTCTTTTAAGATGTTTCAGTCTTCTTTGTTTTTAAGATTGATTGTTGGTGTTTTAATGCTACTTTTAAGCGCCACTTTTGGACTATTTCGTGGCGGCCAGTTTTTATTGGTGGAGGAAGCCGGAGTGACCGAAAAAAACCACCGACCTTGGATTGGAAAACTGACAATCCTAGTCAATTAAGATTTGAGTCGAGTGCACTCGCACGAGCGGGGTTCAAACTCACAACCTCAATGTTGACTGGCTAGTGATTACAGTAGTAGAACTACTTAGACCACTTGGCCACGGAGGCCCTTTTGTTTTTAAGAACTTGCATTTGAAATCTACACTGGTTTTGGTTCTGAAATTTAGTTTCATGTTTCAGGGCTTAAAGGAAAGTAAATGGTTTTGGGTTCAAAATGTAGTTCTAATATGTGTAACTGCAAATGTTGAGATATCTTATGAAATAAATAATAAATAAATTTGTATGTTAGAACAGTGCTTAACTCATCCACAATGAAATGCATTTCATTTGGAAGTTTAGAAAGACAAAGGACCTAATTTTAAAAGAAGGAGAGCCGTGGTGTAGTTGATAGCGCATCGGACTACAAACACAAAGGTTACTGGTTCGATCCCCATTTAGGGGAGAAAATTTCAGGGACTGAATTTTTGGCTCTCCCTTGACGTCATTTGCGAGTATGGTCTTGAAAAACGATGATAGTTCGTATGAAGGGGACGATAAATGGCTGACCCGTGTTAAGACAGTGCAATATCTCTTGCACGTAAAAGGTACCCTTGTAGATTTAAAAAAAAAAACAGGCTTATGCCGCTACAAGGCAGCACTTGTACCAGCAAAATGTAAAGGCATTAATATAAGCTGTTATAACTTGTTTCCCAATCCACTATAAATAAATATGTTTAAACTGAAGGACGGAAATAAGGATAGTGTCTATAAAATGTATTTGTCTTTCTGTACATTTAGTAGTTACATGTATATACATTTTGCTCTTTATTTTATTCTATTAATTAAATTATATGTTATAGGTTTATTGTGTTTGACATTGAGTCAGAAAATGCCTACCTAGTAGATATGAGCGTTTCTGTCTGTACAGAGAGTGCCAAGGCATGTGAGCAAGATTATTTGATAGCACAAAATGTCCTTCTACCCAAAAAACAATGTACATGGGATGCAGGATTTGTTCATCAGAGTAAGTTAATTATTATATTATGTTTTCATATGATTCTAGTACATCTTACAACAGAAACACAATCAAATACCACATAAAATATGTTAATTTAAACTAATTTCAAGAGAATTGATCTTTTATTCTTGCTCTTTATTTTTACTGTAACAATGGATAAAACCTTTTAAAAACTTTTTAAAAAAGTGCATGTTCATCCATGAAATGCACATATACACATACATACACAAAATATGGTGATGCAATTGATAAAATGTCATTATAGTATATTTTCTTTTTTCAGACCTTTCTTTAACCCAATTTAAGGCTGATAATCAGATCTCAGGAAACTTGGAAAGCTATGATGCCTCTCGGTTTTTGGATGAAGCATTTGTTTCATTTAGCCTATTAGCCACGCCATGTGATCGAAGTGGTGATTTGTATTCTTCTAGCACCAATGGATGGACTACAGGTAAGTGAACAGAGAAATAGGGGGTCGTAAAATACACAGTTGACAGCTTAGCTGATAAAATATATTGATTAAAAGTTAATTTTTTCACCTATGTTATCTAATAGAAATGATTTTAACAACATGTTCACTAGATCCTAAGTATCTAATTGCATTGCTCATCTTTATTTTACTTTCTGATAGAAATGATATGACTGTTTTCTATTCAGGTTTCCAATAGAAAACATGGACTGTGCCTTTTCCACAAATGGGTTACCCAATTTGTATCTGGTAGACACCTTGTATCTGCAATTCTTAAATCAATGGCTGTATTTCAATGAAACTGTCATAAAGTTTTTTGAAAACATGGACTTGGCCATACAGTTGCAAAATTGGATTTAAGGAACTCGACACAGATTAAGGAGATGTAGTATGATTGCCACTGAAACAACTATCCACCAAAGTTCAAATGATGAACATATGTACTGTTCATAGATTTTCTTGTGATATGACGTTAAATATCAAAATCACACTGCTTTATCAGCAACAAGAAGATTACTGTCATTAAGACTACCATCCATCAGAGACCAAAGAACATTGATGAAAGCAACTATTTATTCAAGCAAACCTTCAAGAAGCTAATGGTTAATCTTTAACTTGATGTACTGTGGATTAATTATTATTCGTTGGATACCAATTTTCGTGGGTTTCGTTGGTATAGGTGAACCATGAATTCAAATGTTCAACGAATAACAAATTTTCAATGGGTTTACATGCAGAGATTGGCAAAACCACGAAATTTAATATCCAAGAAAATGCAAGTTTTCAGCAATCCACGAAAATTGATACAAACGAAAGTAAATGAATCCACAATACATGTCACATCTCATACTCAATAAAACCTATATGGTATTAAAACATTTGCATAAAACTAATTGTGATATTCCTTTAATTGTAGTTTCTTGAATTTACATAAATTCACATACTAAATGTATACCATATAACTTTATTTTTTTAGCTTGTTCTGTTGTTCCTACAAGTAGCTTGCCAGTGCTCGGCAATACAGTTTCATGTAATGTTGACAACACATGTGAAAAGTTTACATGTTGTTTTGAGGAAACAGAAGTAGGTAGAAGTATTGAGGCCAGTGTTCAGATTGATTCATGTAAAGGACAGCTGATTGTCAAACTTGAGAGAATGAAAAGAACTATATCCTTGATTGGCTATATTTGGGGTAATTATTCGATATCCCCCTCCCCCCAAATCTTTAGAAGGTATACAGGTTCATTTCTTTCACAATAACACATTTAAATTGCATTTTATTCTGCAAGTACAATAAAACCTTTTTTGATAAATGGCTACACTGTATGACACGTTTTTGATTTTCTCAATGATCAACTCTCTGTTTGCTGAAAGCTTATACATTTAAAGTCATGCACATAACATGTTCTTCAATTTTTTTCAGCAATTTCATACATTCCCTATAAAGTCAGTTAACAGCATTGAACAGTGGTAAAATTAGTGAGCATAATATCTTAAGTGAACTCATACAAAATTCTGAAAACTATGTATAAGACTTAGTACAGAAAATTAGAGAAACATTTTTACCTAAACGAAATATATAAAAATTAATTGATTTTTTTTTTTTTTATAAATTTAGTATAGATTTTTTATATTGGTTTTACAAGTTCACAACATTGATAGGGCATTGTAAGGAAATTTAACTTCTTACTTGTATTTTATGCATACTATTACTAGTCCTTTAATATGTAAATAAGATTAACAAACAGTCTTAATTGATAATTTAGGAACTGAGGAAGTTTACAAGTTGAATGGAGTGTATGGGCTTAGGTAAGAGAAAAAAATAAATACATTATATAATAAAAAAAAAAACAAAACAAAAACTACAGCACGGTTTCACATCATAACATTTACATTGGAAAATTGATCCGACAGATCCATGTGTTTTGTCCTCCTTTGACATTTCAACTAAAAGAGGGATATGGGAATGGATTAATGAAACAAAAAGTGTTTGTAATATTACGACTCGGATGGTTATTTAAAAATTATTTAGATTTTTGTAAAATGTAGTTTATACACACCTGCTACTAAAGAATTGTAATGAAATTTGATGAATATGAAACATTATTACAAAGTTGAACATAACAGATTTGACATTGTGTATCATCATGTGCATTTGGAACTTTATTTTTTCTAAGTCTACTCTGAATATTTAATAAATATCTGTACTTATCTAGCAAACAAAACAAATAAAATTGTTCTCTCCTCTTGCAGAATTTTGAATCTCAATATTAATGTTATATGTTATTTTTGGCTTAAAGGGCTTTCCCTACTTGTAAGAGTTTTTGTATAAAACATCACATGCTATTGTAGGTTTACAGTAAACAATCTTATGACAAGTAATAAGTATTTAGTGAATATGGACCTGATGGCATGTTATGAAGCCAGCGGTGCCTGTGCATTTCAAGAAACCATCCTCATAAACTTTGAACTAGTGAAGGCAATGTGTGATAGATCAGCAGGATTCATTGATTCTCAGTGTGAGTGTGCAAAATGTGTCTCTACTTTTCTGCATTTCGACTTTTGTCTTGTTTTTTTTTTTTTTTTTTTTGGCATTATCATTTCTTGTATGAATCAATTTTTTCTACATTTTAAAAACAATGTAACTTTATTGATTGATATGTTTTGCAACATTCTTTCCACAGGCGAAATATTCAGTTTTATTGTTTTTGCTCAGTTATTATTATTATGTCACCCGATCAACAATGTCAGATGACATATTACTTTTCTTCAGTTTCTTTTTTTATTATTTTTCTTCCAACTTTTTTGTCGGATGCATTCATGAGAGTTTAGTGGACCAATCCTATTTAATGGTTACCATAATGATGTCCAGCATCTAAAGTTGTGCAGGACATCTTTAGAATTTTTAAAATGGCCACCCATGAAAACAGCACAAATGCAAAAGATAGGAAAGTGTTCCAAACTTTATGAAACTTTACAGAAATGTTAATTGGCATATGCACATCTGACATATGATTTTGGAATTTACTGAATAGCTGTCTTTGCCATTGAAACCGGAGACAGAGTTTTAACATTAAACCCTATGGGAAAATTCTTAAAGTGGCATTAAAGTAGGTAAAATACAGTGATTCTTTCATGGAATGTTCCCTGTCATGTGCTTATATGGCATCTTTCTTTGAAATTTTGGAAACGATCACTGCTGTGTACAAATTCCAAAAAGCTCCAAATTTAATGAAACTTAGTATAAATGTTTGTTTGCAAATACAGATGAGACTTTTGACTTTGGAATTTGCAAAATGGCCACCGCTGCCATGGAAACAGGAGGACCCCCCTGGGGTCACTATTGCATATCACTTTACTGGACCAAACCATTTTTTACTGGACTGCCAATGTCCGGTGACCACGGGAATGACTGCATTTATGGGTACTTTGTTTAGGAAACTTCGTAACAGCATCCTGCTACAATCATTTCTTGTTATAATAGAGATTTAAACCTTATTTTCAGATAAAAAATTTAAATATATTTTCTGAAATTGTAAGTTTTCCAAAACTAGGCATTTTCCTATAACTTTTTCTTTAATAACAGCAAACATATCTTGTTACAGTTTCCTATAGTTCATGGCTGTCATCAGTTGGTCTACCAGTCAATACTTCACCATTACCAGAATGGGCCAGACTACAACTGATCGATGACCTTGATGTCAATAATTACTTCAGTCTTGAGAACAAATGCTACAATGTAATGACTCCATTTATGACAGCAAATGCAACAAATGGCTTCAATAACGGTATGAAGTATATATGTTTAAAGATTTATTTTAGCTGTAACAAGGAAGATAAGTAAACTATGACACACCGTAAAATTAGCTTGGATACCTCCAGCTGGCTTACATAATGGTTATTTTAAGGGGTTATTTAGAAAATGAGTAAATTGTGACACTTTAAGAAGTACACCACTAATTCATGGCCCCATTGCCTTTTATGTTAAATTTCTCAATTTCAAGCGGACACAACTCTTTTGTTTTCAGTTCAAATAAAGTGACAATCATTGCATGTCAAAGCAACACTTTATGGTGTCTTGTACTGAAAAAATCGACATACCTTAAATAGCATATAAGAAAGAACTGGTTCCTGGAACTTTAGATATACCAAAAAAGGTACTTCGGATCTGACAAACAGACAGAATCTACCCTCTTTTTAAAATTTCATACAATTTTTTTTAATTTTCAAAATTATAAGTCAAAAAAAGTGTTCTACAATGATCACCAGTTATTCAGCTTTCATTTGATACCAACATTACCTAAATATTGTACATATTTTGAAAGTTACACCCATGCGTAGGAACTATTTTGTGTAAAATATGAACTACTTTCTGGTACGTGCTTACTGGCCAGGCTCAGATTAGTGGTGTTACACCTTAAAAACATGCTGGGATTGGTGAAGATGGCTTCAAATTTAGTTAACAGTTAACAGGTAACATGGAATAGAGTGAAGTATTTAATTCATCCAGTAGATTATGTTTGAGTTTGAAATCCGACCAGCTGAGTTGGAACTTTGGTATGAAAAGGTTACTGTAGGCTATTTTTGATTTCACCTTCTAACAATCGAAAAATATCTGTTACAAATTAAAAGGACATACACTGACAAAACAGATCGGAAAGGGAGAGGGATACGTCATTCTGTCACTAAACTTTAACAGGTTAAGAATTTGTACTGTGTGTTGTGTGGAACAATACAAAAACATTAGATAGTCTTTTTGTATTGACACAATGTTTTGTTTCTCCCTTATTATAAATGTAAACTGAAATAAAATGTGTCTTGTTATATATTCAGAATGTGGTTCATCAATTGCACATAACACATTTACACCAGCTGATACCATCGTGTGTAGTATCCCAACAGACTGTAATGGGGTACAATGCTGTGTTGATGTGCCTCAGCTAGCTACATCACTAGAATATGAATTGATTCTGGACACATGTGGCAACAGATTACGTCTTAAAGTAGACAAACTGGAAACTGATATATCATTACATGATTATGACTTTGAATCTAGTGGCAAATTCTCCATATATGGCTTGGCTGAAATAAAGTAAGTTTTTATGCCCCATTTAAGGGCATTATGTTTTTTCTGTCTGTGTGTCCGTTTGTTCGTTCGTTCGTTCGTCTGTTCATTCCTCTGTTCGTTCGTCCGTCCGTTCGTTTGTCTGTCATGCTTCAGGTTAAAGTTTTTGGTCAATATAGTTTCTGATGAAGTTGAAGTCCAATCAACTTGAAACTTAGTACACATATCCCTATATGATCTTTCTAATTTTAATGCCAAATTAGAGTATTGACCACAATTTCATGGTCCACTGAACATAGAAAATGATAATGCAAGTGGGGCATCCGTGTACTATGACACATTATTGTTTTGTATTACACTTTCAGACTTTTCTCCTGCTTTTTAGGTTCATATATTTCTTCTTGAAAATTAATTGTTTAATATTATGACAATAAGCTCAAATACACAGAACTGTTTGAAATGTCTTTTCGACGCACACTTTCTTTTCTTCTGGAAGTCACAATCTAGATATGTAGACCTAATTCTTTCTGTAGATTTAAAAACTTGCATGATCAAATTTAACAATGATCTAATACAAAGTTGGATGTAACCATATAAGCCATATTATCATCCTGAATCTGCAAGTGAAATGATTGCTGCTGAATATAAAACAGCCATTAGTAAACCCCTGTCATCGATATCTTTTTATGCCTCTGCGAAGTGTTACCCGTGACCATCTTTCCATCTGTCTGATTTTTCGTTTCCACACTCTGACTTAAGTTTTCCTCATCAAAAATTCCTAGAACAGAAACTCCAAGACATAATTCGAATTTATGTAGTGAGTCACTTACCGTTTTAGAATTTTGCCCTGTATATAACTTGGAGAATTGGAATTTTTTTCGTTTCCACAATCTAACTTCAGTTTTTCTCGTCCAGATTTTATGAAACACATTCACATGTCTAAGAGTGTTTAAATTTTGGTAGTATTGTTATCATCCATTCTAGAATTATGCCCCTTTATATCTTGGAAAATTGCAATTTTTTGTTACTTCACTCAAGTTTGTTCAAAAAAAGGCAGCGATTTCTTTACCGTTTTATGGTTTTGCCCCTTTGAAACTTGAAAAATTGCAAAGCTTGAGGAGGAGCATTTGTGTCAATTATTTTAAAACCTACATTCAAAGGTCTATCCTGAATTATCAGAAACTGCACAGGTTTAAGTTTTAAATAACACAGAACAGATTGTCATTTTTACTTGTATAAAATGTAACTTACAATTAGACATTATGTGAATAATTAAGTGTAACTTACCATTAGACGTTATGTGAATAATTTATAGTTACAATTTTATCAGATAGAGAGACACGTGTATTAATGAAATCACTCTTGAATATGTATTTAGCTTTCTGTAGTTATACTAATGTCATATTTTTGTATTATAGTTACCTTGTAAGCAACCTGTTCTATACTCAGTATGAAGTTACAATGTCTATACAATTCTGCCTGAATGGTGATACTTCGTTAGTATGTGACCAGGAATACACCATCTTTAATAAAACGGTCTTTGATAAAGAAAGCTGTAATTACAATACAGGTTTCAAAGATTCAGGTAAGAAGTAGACAGGTTTAAGATTGGTTTTGTAAACTGATTCAGGTAAGAATTAAGCTGGCTTAATATTTTTGTAAATCAATTCAGAAAGAAGCATACAGGTATAAGATTGGTTTTGTTAACCCATTCAGGCAAGAAGTATACAGGTATAAGATTTGTTTTGTAAACAGATTTGGTAAAGAAGTATACAGGTATAAGATTGGTTTTGTTAACCCCCTTTCAGGTCAGAAGTATACAGGTATAAGATTGGTTTTGTTAACCCATTCAGGCAAGAAGTATATAGGTATAAGATTGGTTTTGTTAACACATTCAGGCAAGAAGTATACAGGTATAAGATTGGTTTTGTAAACCGATTCCGGTAAGAAGTATGCAGGTAAATGGTATACAGGTATAAGATTTGTTTTAAACCCCCTTTCAGGTCTGAAGTATACAGGTATACATGTAAGATTGGATTTGTAAACCGATTCAGGTAAGAAGAAGTCAGGTTTAAAATTGGTTTTGTAAACCAATTCAGGTAAGCATTAGATTAGTTTAAGATTAGTTTTGTGTACCGATTCAGGTAAGAAGAAGACTGGTTTAAGATTGGTTTTGTAATACCAATTCAGGTAAGAAGTGAAAAGGTTTTAGATTGGCTTTGTAAACCAATTCAGGTAGGGATAGATAAGGATAAGATTTGCTTTGTGAACAGATTCAGGTAAGAAGGAGAGACGTTTAAGATTAGTTTTGTAAAGTGATTCTGGTAAAAAAAATACACTAATTTAAGATTGGTTTTGTAAATCGATTCTGGTAAAAAAAATAGACTAATTTAAGATTGGTTTTGTAAATCGATTCTGGTAATAAAATAGACTGATTTAAGATTGGTTTTGTAAATCGATTCTGGTAAAAAAATAGACTGATTTAAGATTGGTTTTGTAAATCGATTCTGTTTAAAAAATAGACTGATTTAAGATTGGTTTTGTAAATCGATTCAGGTAAAGGAGTAGATCCAGTAAGACCCCATTTTGGCTTCAAAATATAGCAGTTTTACAAAGTTGTTCAAATGTAAACTTTTAGCTATTTATTGGAAAGTAGAATACTTCTGTTACATAAATATGGGCTGATTTTGACAATACAATGCACATGTATCGGGTACTAGCATCATTAAGTCGTGCAAAATTACTGAAATTGTCATAATTTTAGCATTTGTATAAATTTTTTTTTGAAAGTGGCCGCATTTGTGTTCTTACTTACTATTTAAATGTAAGTTGTATTTGATGATAGTAGATAACATATATAAAGGTTGAGAATGAACACAGATAGACCACTTTCATTTTTGACAAAAACCATCTGAAAAGTGACATATTATGGCATATTTGATAGATTTTCATACGCCCGTTTACGGGACGTATTATGGTATACCGGTGTCCATCTGTACGTCCGTCGTCAACATGTCGGACATTAACTCAAAATCGCTTTATCCAATTTGCATAAAACTTTGGTGAATTGTTTATATCTATTGACATGAGCTCCCTTTCATTTTTTTATAAATTTTAGATTTTACATTTCTGAGTAATGGGGTTTTATTCAATAAAAAAGGAGGGATTTTCAAGTTTTAGGACAATAACTCAAAAATGCTTTCAGAAATTCTCATGAAACTTTGGTGAATTGTTTATATCTTTTGATGTAAGCTTTGAAATTTTATAAATTTTAGATTTTACATTTCCGAGTTATGGGGTTTTATTCAATAAAAAAGGGGGGATTTTCCAGTTTTCGGACAATAACTCAAAAATGCTTTCATCAATTCTCATGAAACGTTAGTGATTTTCATAAATTTTAAATATGACATTGAGAAGTAATTGAACTTTATTCTTTGAAAATGTGACGGGCGTATCATGAGCTCATGGCGCAGCTGTTTATTCATATTTAAGCTTGAATTTGAGCGTCTTAAATGACTCTATCAGTTCAAATCTTTCACATAAACTAATAGAATCGACTGAAGTAGACACTTAAGTGTTTTAAAAGTGTCCTAAATCTTTCATCAGATGAACCTGAAGTTTGAGGCCAAAATCGATCCTTACCGGACATACTCCTTTGACAAGTTTAAGATTGTTTTTTTTTATACTCATTCAGGTAAAAAGAAGCAAAGGCTTAACAAATATGTCGATAATAGATGCTGATGATTTATTACAGTTTCTTTGTATACTTTGCAGGATTCTCTCTATCAACATGGTTAGCAGACAAAAGGCTAGGATTAACAAATTTGCCAACAGTCGATGCCGATGATTTATTACATTTTCTGTTTTTTCATTGTAGGATTCTCTCTATCTAAATGGTTAGCAGATATAAGTCTAGGGTTAATAAATTTGTCAATTAAGAATTCCAATGATTTATTACATTTTCTTTGTTTTTATTGCAAGCTTCCCTCTATCCACATGCTTAACAGACAGAAGTCTAGGACTATCAAATATGTCAACAGTCGATGCTGATGATTTATTAAATTCTCTGTGTTTTCTTTGCAGGGTTCTCTCTATCCACATGGTTAACAGACAGAAGTCTAGGGTTAACAAATATGTCAATAGTCGATGCTGATGATTTATTACAATTACTGCAGATAGATGATTTTATGGAGTATTCCAACATTTGTAACTTTACTGGATCACCCTATGTTGGTGCTGTAGATGGATGGAATAATGGTTTGTATCATAAACTAGATAGAGAGAGTGAAGTGATGAAGGTATTAGCCTCAATTTATTATATTTAAAACGTTTGTCAAGAATGTAGATCACTCATATACGTATATACATCAACAGTCAAGTTTGAAAACTTCAATGTAAGTGCTATTACTATGACTGACTGATCTAGTGATTCATGAGAGTTTGTTGTCTCTTTTACAACTACCCATTTCCCATCTTTTCCAATTATTTTTTTTCATAAAATAATGTGATTTTTTCAGCTATTAAAAGGAAATATGCATATTTTTTTTCGCCAAAAGAACTTTTTTCTAGTTTAACTAGTTATGAAATTACATTATTTACCGACGAAAAGTTAATCTTGGGAAAATTTTTGCTAAAATAATAATTTTCAATGATATAAACATATAGTTATTTAAATGATCAGTCATACATCTTTTGTTCTTTAATGGCTCAGAATAATTGATAAAATTTTAATTTCAGCTTGAAGGAGTCTTAATTCGATTAGATTTGCTTTTTCTTTTACTCATGTACAGTTGGGTGCAGACCAAGCATTACATGTAGACGGGCCGAAAAAGTTAACGCGGTGTTTACTCGCGTGCACTTCATGTTAACGCCGCGTTAACTCCGAAATTTCAGTAGACATAAAAAGTAAACAGGCGTTTACTTTCGCGTTTACCTCCGCGTTAACGCAAAAACGGCGCGTCTTCTAATTTTTTAAAGAGTAAACGGGAGTTTACTTACGCGTTTACTTCCGCGTTAACGTGAAAAAATGCGCGTTTTCTATTTTCGTCAAAAGTAAACGCACGTTTACTGTTTGTAGTAAACGCGCGTTAACGCAGATTGTCATCGTATCCTGGATACACTGACCTAAAAAATCAAATGATAAGGTACATCAAAATTAAATGACCAACTGGTCATTCTCGATTGACATATTGACGTCGATTACAGTTAATTGATAATGTTATCACACTTCTTTAATAAATTTATTCAAAATTATTCATAGTAAATTTCTTTTTCTTCACCAAAATATAGTTCAAGTATGTCCTTTTATTAAATTAATTTAATCATCACCAAATTCAAACAGTTTTCACATCTCAGACAGGCTGACTCAGGATGACTCGTAAAAGAAAATTATTTGATCTCATTAGCCAAAACTTACCATATTTGCCCTTTGTCAAGTTATCTATACAGTAGCATAGTAATTTAGCTATATTTTATGTCATAATGGACCGTATAATACAATTGACAGGAATATTGGAACCAGCATGTCCGTCCTATTTTTATTGAAAATATTTAATCGTAAACAAATTTCAGTAGATTTAATACCTCAGACTGACTCTTAGAACAAAACGATGTGCCCTCAACAACCAAAACTGACCATATTAGCACTTTATTATTTATATTATTTAAATCTTTATGTCCGCATGGTAAATGAGTTATATTTTCATGTAAGGATGGATTGTATAATACAAATGATAGCAATATTGGCACATAATGACTAAAAAAAGGAGTAGGTCCGGTAAGGGCTGATTTTGGCCCCAAATTTCAGGTTCATCTGATGAAAGATTTTGGACACTTTTTAAACACTTAAGTGTCTACTTTAGTAGAATCAATTTATTTATGTGAAAGATTTGAACTGATTAAGTCATTAAAGACGCTCATATTCAAGCTTAAATGTTATAAATCTATCAAATATGCCATAATATGTCACTTTTCAGATGGTTCTTGTCAAAAATGAAAGTGGCCGCATCCGTGTTCATCCTCAACCTTTATATATGTTATGTATTATCATCAAATACAACTTATATTTAAATATTAAGAATGAACACAAATGCGGCCACGTCCATTTAAGACGGAAACCGTCTAAAAATTAACTCAAATGCTAAAATTATGAAGATTTCAGTAATTTAGCATGACTTAATGATGCTAGTACCCGATAAATATGCATTGTATTATCAAAAACAGCCCATATGTATGTAACAGAAGTATTCTACTTTCCAATGAATAGCTAAAAGTTTACATTTTAACAATTTTGTAAAACTGCTATATTTTGGGGCCAAAAAGGGGTCTTACTGAACCTACTCCTTTGTTCGCATCACTTTAGAGTGCCAGCATGTCCTCTTTTTATTCAAAATATTGAATCGCAAACAAATTTCAGTAGTTTTCATACCTCAAACTGACTAGTATAACAAATTAACTTGCTCGCATCAACCAAAATTGACTATATTAGCACTTTATTATGTAAGTTTTTTATAGCCGCATAGTAAATGAGTTATATTTTCATGTGAGGATGGATTGTATAATACAAATGATAACAATATTGGCACATAATGACTAAAAAATTTTATTCGCATCAATTTAGAGTGCCAGTATGTCCTCTTTTTATTCAAAATATTGAATCGTAAACAAATTTCAGTAGTTTTCATACCTCAAACTGACTCATATAACAAAATAATTTGTCTGCATCAACCAAAACTGACCATATTTGCACTTTATTATGTAAATCTTTATAGCCGCATAGTAAAAGAGTTATATTTTCATGTAAGGATGGATTGAAGACACAAATGATAGCAATGTTGGAACATAATGAGTAAAAAATTTTGTTCCCATCAATTTAAAGTGCCAGCATGTCCTCTTTTTATTCAAAATATTGAATCGTAAACAAATTTCAGTAGTTTTCATACCTCAAACTGACTCGTATAACACAATGATTTGTCCGCATCAACCAAAACTGACCATATTTGCACTTTATTATGTAAATCTTTATAGCCGCATAAGTAAATGAGTTATATTTTCATGTAAGGATGGATTGTATAATACAAATGATATCAATATTGGCACATAATGACTAAAAATTTTTGTTTGCATCAATTTAGAGTGCCATCATGTCCTCTTTTTAATATAAAATATTGAATCGTAAACAAATTTCAGTAGTTTTTATAAATCAGACTGACTCGAATAACAAAATTATTTGTCCGCATCAACCAAAACTGACCATATTTGCACTTTATTATGTAAGTCTTTATAGCTGCATAGTAAATGAGTTATATTTTCATGTAAAAATGGATTGAATACACAAATAATAGTAATATTGGAACATAATGACTAAAACATTTTGTTTGCATCAATTTAGATTGCCAGTATGTCTTTCTTTTATTCAAAATATTGAATTGTAAACAAATTTCAGTAGTTTTCATACCTCAAACTGACTCGAATAACAAAATTATTTGTCCGCATCAACCAAAACTGACCATATTTGCACTTTATTATGTTAATCTTTATAGCCGCATAGTAAATGAGTTATATTTTCATGTAAAGATGGATTGAACACACAAATAATAGCAATATTGGAACATAATGACTAAAACATTTTGTTCACATCAATTTAGAGTGCCAGTATGTCCTCCTTTTATTCAAAATATTGAATTGTAAACATATTTCAGTAGTTTTCATACCTCAAACTGACTCGAATAACAAAATTATTTGTCCGCATTAACCAAAACTGACCATATTTTCACTTTATTATGTAAATCTTTATATCCGCATAAGTAAATGAGTTATATTTTCATGTAAGGATGGATTGTATAATACAAATGATAGCAATATTGGATTATAATGACTAAAAAATTTTGTTATTATCAATTTAGAGTGCCAGTATGTCCTCCTTTTATTCAAAATATTGAATTGTAAACATATTTCAGTAGTGCTCATACCTCAAACTGACTTGTATTACAAAATTATTTGTCCGCATCAACCAAAACTGACCATATTTGCACTTTATTATGTAAATCTTTATAGCTGCATAGTAAATGAGAAAGGATAGATTGTATAATACAAATGATAGCAATATTGGCGCATTATGACTAAAACATTTTGTTTGCATCAATTAAGGGTGCCAGCATGTCATCTTTTTATTCAAAATATTGAATCGTAAACAAATTTCAGTAGTTTTCATACATCAGACTGACTCGAATAACAAAATTATTTGTCCGCATCAACCAAAACTGACCAAATTTGCACTTTATTATGTAAATCTTTATAGACGCATAGTAAATGAGTTATATTTTCATGTAAGGATGGATTAATCATACAAATGATATCAATATTGGCACATAATGACTAAAAATTTTTGTTCGCATCAATTAAGAGTGCCAGCATGTCCTCTTTTTATTCAAAATATTGAATCGAAAACAAATTTCAGTAGTTTTTATACATCAGACTGACTCGAATAACAAAATTATTTGTCCGCATCAACCAGAACTGACCATATTTGCACTTTATTATGAAAATCTTTTAAAGCCGCATAGTAAATGAGTTATATTTTCATGTAAGGATTGATTAAATACACAAATAATAGCAATATTGGATCATAATGACTAAAAAATTTTGTTCTCATCAATTTAGAGTGCCATTATGTCCTCCTTTTATTCAAAATATTGAATTGTAAACATATTTCAGTAGTGTTTATACATCGCATTGTAAATGAGTTATATTTTCATGTAAGGATGGATTGTATAAACAAATGATATCAATATTGGCATGTTATGACTAAAAAAATTTCTTCGCATCAATTAAGAGTGCTAGCATGTCCTCTTTTTATTCAAAATATTGAATTGTAAACATATTTCAGTAGTGCTCATACCTCAAACTGACTCATATAACAAAATTATTTGTCCTCATCAACCAAAACTGACCATATTTGCACTTTATTATGAAAATCTTTATAGCCGCATAGTAAATGAGTTATATTTTCATGTAAGGATTGATTGAATACACAAATAATAGCAATATTGGATTATAATGAATAAAAAATTTTATTCTCATCAATTTAGAGTGCCAGTATGTCCTCCTTTTATTCAAAATATTGAATTGTAAACATATTTCAGTAGTGCTCATACCTCAAACTGACTTGTATTACAAAAATATTTGTCCGCATCAACCAAAACTGACCATATTTGCACTTTATTATGTAAATCTTTATAGCCGCATAAGTAAATGCG